AGAGCCTTGACCTCACTGACAGAATTATGTATGGTTATTTATAATTAATTACGACCCTTTTAAACTTTGTCAGTTTTAAATGGTCACTAATGATCGTCTTTAATTGTAAACTGGGTACTTTTATAGCTAATGATATTTTTTTATTTTTTTTCTTTCTAATGTATTTATGAACTGCCAACCCTTCGATTAATTAATCCTTGCAGATTTAAGGTTTTAATTAGTCAATATCGGTTACTCTTTGTTGCATGTTCTTAGTTTCCTAGCTCTTAAAAATTTATAGAAAATTCATATTCAATTTTAATTTGGAACTGTCTCTCGGAATCACATACAAGTTGTAAAAGTAATCTATGGTCCATAGTAAATCACACTAGCCCAGTGCCGGTTGGTTGACTTCACACATATCTTTGAACTTTTGTATGATACAACTCGATATCTCAAACCTTTTAAACCAATTAAGCGTCAATACCCTAATGGTTAAGGGTAAGGGTTTCCAATTGCGAGCTCGGGCCTATGATTCCCGACATTCGACTATTGTCGTAAACCATATCCTAGCACAAGCCTAAAGCTTAGTTGGAATGGTAAAAGAAATATTAGTAAATTTACAAAAAAAAAACTGCTAATATTTTTTTTTAAAAAATTATCTCAATTACTATTGTAAGATTAATTTTACAAATTAATTATTAAATAATTTATCATTTATTTATATTTGTTAACAATGATTTTGATTTACGACTAAGATGTTTACCGTTTACCGCAAACTGACCTTCCCAAGTAGAGCTGGCAGCTTTAGTCACGATCCATTTTCAAGTCAGATGTTTTCGTGCACGATTTTTGATGTGTAACTAACCGTTAATATCTTTGTATCTTACTGTGAGTTTCCACTGTCGAAATACTTAAACAAAAACATTTTAACATTATCCCAGTTATTGAAAAAACAGAGTATTAGAATCTTATAGACCTTCTGCCATACATTTTGCATAATCATATTATTTATTTTGTTTATATTTCTTACTAGTTTTTGCCCGCATTTCCGTCTGCGAAGAATTAAAATAAACTTAATAGATAGCCTATGAGTTCTACCATACTATGCTCTACATGTATGACAAATTTTAGCGATATCAGTTTAGCCGTTCTGAAGATACATTCTAACAATCATCCATTATATATCTTAACATACAACATAAAATATCTTAAATAACTTTATATATAATAATTTGGAGAAGATTTCATTCTCGATGTGTCGATATGGTGCCGTCCAATCGGCTAGCATTTAAATATGTGAGAAGATTATAAAAGAAGTTTATTAAATACCCAAAGAAACGTATCGTTGGAATAAATATCATATTTTATTGTTATTAAAGAGACCAATTAATATGTTCGACAGGTAATAATTGGAAATACGTATAATAAATTGGAATACGTACATGCCGCATTCATACAACCTTAAGCCCCAGTAAATTACATAATATTATGATCCTGTTTAGTAGTTACATTTATGTCATGTAGAAAAAAACGCTGCAATATTTCTTTTTATTTTATTATACGATTCAAAAAGAAGAAGGTTGGCAAGCACAGAATGATATTGGACAACTAGTCCACATGTAAAAAAGAAATATGAACGATGTATAAAAAATGTATACTATACTAGAAAAAAATTAAAGTAAAAATGTGGTGTATAATATAAAAAAATTGAACAAGAATTGCGCATTTAAAGATATAAGATAAATGTCAAATAAATAAAAACAAATGACTAGCATCGGTTAATTCTTCCTACAGATAAAATTTCTGTAATGTTATATGTCTTAGTTTCGCGTGACGTGTACGTACGAGTACATATCAAATGAAACGCAAATCCTTGGCGCTTATTTAAATATCATTCGAGACACACAAATCAATGTCATTGTCACTGATGCCTGATATGAAGAATTATTACAACGTTTTGTTTTGGAACGCATTCAAAATACGAGCGTTGAACGTTTGATTAACTAATAAGGCAGTTGGTAGATGGCTTTAACACTATGGATATATACGATTCAGAACTAAGACTAAACATGCTTCTTCCAAGTAAATGGGTTAAACTAATTTAGTTGAACTAGGCCTTTAGTGCTCTGGAAATTTTATGTCGTTTAGCCTACAATAGATCAAGATGATAGGTAATTCATGCTGAATTTAGGCAACTATAACTGAAATCTCGATTTTTGTGATTGACTAGACCACAGTTGCCTTAAGCGTATACAGTTTCACCGGGCTTAAGCTTAGCTTCACCTAAACCTCGGCCAATGTTAGTGTAGTCACATATTACGTTACAAAGAATTAAATAATGCATCTTATTTATACAAAGTTAACATAATAATTAAATAATCACTGTAGGAGACTTATGAGATGCAATGATATTACACTTTCAAACATTTTAATTATTAAACAAAAGACGAATGTGTGGCTTCCCGTGGAGTGTATCACTGGCATAAAGACGAAGGGAAACAATACGATTACTTTGATATGAGCTTGAACACAAATATGAACCTATGGATAACTTGATCACCTTTAATACTCTTGATTGCGTGATACTGCAGAAATGCATGTGTATTCTAGTTTTTATTTTACGCATACGTAATGTGTTATTAAGGTAGGTTAGTTTTCTTTTTAGAAGTATTTATAATTGCTTTATGAAGAAATGAATTTATTATCGTCTTAATTGACTGATTAGTCGAATGACTTTTCATCTTAGATTTAAATTAAAAATAATTTCATCACAAATGTAAATGCTCTGTTATTTATAAATTAAACGTCTTAATAGTTTATTTTTTTTAATTTGAAACAAAGAAATACTAAAAATATTATTTATGGTAAAGTGTACGTTGTTTCGTACTTCATATTACGATTACTCAATCACGATTCAATGTAATAAAAATATCAACAATAATAAATCAAGTTAGAATTATCCTTTACATTCATGTTATAAGGATGAGAGTGTATCCTAATAGAGACATTCAATACGCGGGTCAGTCAATGACAAAACGAACGTCAGTGTGGTACGGGTCAGTCGATGTCAGTCATGACATTCAACGTCAATCGTATCCGACACAAGCGGCAATCAGTCGGCCACCGTGCTGACTGCCACTGACACGGTGAAATCGGCCCACCACAGTAAATCACCGTATAATGTTGGTATAATGATACTGCAAGAATCTTGTAGTTATTGATGAGTGATAAAAGTCAGATAATATTTATTTCTACATATATAATGTCTACCTGTAGACTGTAACGTAATTTTGTAAATAGATGAATTGACACTCACCAACTCGATGCCCCGTTTATCGTTTGCAGGTGCCTGGTCACTCTGTCGGTGTAAAATCGAGTCAAATAGTCTTTAGGCGACAGCGATGCTGACCTCTTGATGCACCCGATTCATCGCTTCCTGTAACCGCACTATAGACGCGTCGTGGTTGAACCGAACGCGAAATTATAAACTGTAACTCATTCCATACAAATTCCGTGGACTACCCACTAAGAACTCTGCCAATTCACACAAGGCTCCCGTGGCCCTGCGCCCGATCGTACTCTTAGAATATAACCCACTTGTGCGGGAATAATAAAAATAAGTCGACCTACCTACATTACCTATATAGCCAGATTCAAAAATGCATTTAACATGACGAAGTACATCGTAATTAAACCCAATACATTTTGCACGAAATGAAGGTACAGATAGAAACATCAGCATCTGGGTCATGGATATGCAATGACAATTGTTTTGGTACCAGTACTTGTAATGGAAACATATGACATGCAGAACAATTTAATCGCTGTAGATAAAGGCAGTTTTGCATTGCATTCTATTAGAATATAAGACACTTAACAGAATGTGGTAGTGGTAGAATCAATTTGACGGATTTAAAACAAGATATAGGAGTTAGCAAAAAAAACATTGTACTAATGAAGAGTCTTCTAATTTGTTTTCTATACAAAGGGTAGTTTAGCAAGATATTTTGTTGTACAGTTCTGATATTTGGTCGTCTGGTCTATACACAAAATTATAAGGTAATAAATATTTATTTATATTATAAAATATAAAAACTATTTTAAATAAAATGATTTTCATTTGGCAACTTTCATTTCCGTTACAAGATGCGATATCATAAATATACTGTTTTTACATATATTTAAACTAGTTGTGTCACATTAAGATTTAAATCTTATCTCTATATCAGGCATAAGTCAAGCTCTTATATGTTAATATAATACCCCAATATGTGTCAAATTTATTACTAACATTACAATTAATGACTTAATAAAAGCATCCAAGCGGCTCCATATAAAAATATTAACAGTCCTTACAAAAATAACCAAATTTTAATCATTTATTTATCTATAATTGCCTTACAATCACTAAGGAAATAACTTGATATAACAATTGCCTTTGACTTCGTCCGCGCGGAATAAAAATAATCTAATAAAAAATCTACCCTATCTCACCAGGGGATAGTGCAGCTAGTCAGCAACAGTCAGCAGTGAAAGAGTTTTTTTTTTAAATTGGTTTAGTAATTTCGAAATCTATTCAATGCAAACAAACAAACAAATCTTTCATCTTTATAATATTAGTACAGTAAGGCCCCTTTTCCACTTTTCCGCTTAATACGTGACTCCGGCCGAGTGTGACTTTCATTTTGTACTCATAGATTAGGTATAGCAATCGCACTCGACTAAAAGGAAGAAAATAATGCATCAGCGATTTCTCTGGTGGCGCCGGGCTATGATCACTTTGTTTGTATTACCACTTCTCGTTTGCCCTGTTGTCTTAAAAAAAAGTTGTCTCCGTCTCTGCGCCCGCGTTGAATTAGAAAAAAAAAAATTAGAAGCATTTATACCAAATTTAACGATTACATTGAGCCTTTCTGGATATACCATCAAACACACATCCATCCATCTAAGCATTCGCATCTATAATATTAATAAGATGTTTTCCGTTCCCTACTAAAATAAATCTCTTATCATTTCAGATGGCGTCGCAGCAGGAAAAGAAGAAAGCTTACGAGAAGTGTTGATTTCGTCCGGCGGTCTAGGAACATCATCACAAGACCGGAACCGGACTGTGCGGGCCTGGGGCGCCGCTACCACGAGTGCAACACCGCGGTGAGAATTGCATCCTATTTACTGTCATTACGACTCGTTACTCACTCGAACGTAATGTGCCGACCGCACGGAGCGTATCGAGAAAATGATAGGGGTCATTCACAGAAAATCACGCATTTTTTATTGTCATTTCTGAAATGTTAAAACCTTTGGCTTTGCTTTGTCGGCTTTACATATAACATTAAAATATGTTTCTTCTCAAAATTTAATTTACATAAAAAGCGGAAGATAAGAATCAACCATTTCAAATGTATTTATGGTTATCATTAGATTCATAAGTTTTTAACTTTTGTAAGTATTTAGATTTTGGTCATAAATAAAATTGCAAATCACTAACCAATTTAACATAATATGACGTCATAACATGACATTTTTTCTTTTATTATACAATTATGCACAAGAATATCCAAGGGCGTTAAATGATTCGTTCTCACCAGTGACGTCATTCAGGCTATCACAGTGTGTTTTTTTTTATATATGAAATGCAAACGAGCGAGCGGCCACCTGAAATCGCTGAAATAGCGAAGTGACCGTTGCCCATAGACATACGCAATTGCATAAGCGTTGCCTACCTTTAATCGACGGAGGAGAGAATGCACACAATGAAAATATTTCCTCCTCATAAAGAAAAGGATGGGAAGGGAAAGAGGACTAAATTAGGCCTCCGGGACGCACACTCATCAGACGAAACGCGGAATTGCTTGCACTTCACGCCTGTCTTCTGTGCGGTCGTGGTATTTACCGGGCGAGCCGGGCCGATACGTGCGAAGATGTTAAAGCGGGCTCTACCACTGTTTCTCTTCTGTCTCACCACAAATCCAAATCTTTAATAACACCACTATCTCACAATATCTCCAAAGTCCAAACCATCGTATTAAGGAAACGAGACCACCCAATAAGTCGCTTATCACGCTATCTTTTGTCTTAAAAAACTAAACATTAATTTGTTATATTGTCAAACGCCTACTGATTTTTAAAACGCGTGAATTAAATACGCCTGCAAAATCAAGAATGGTAATTAATTATAGTGACCAATTTAAATTCACAGCATACCAGTCGAGTCAGTAAACTGGGCACCATATAAATGTCCTGTCCGAACCAAATAAAACTTGTCGTTTAAATTCCATCTTTAGATTTAATATTTATTTAAACGTTTATATAAAATTATCAACACAAGAAATGTTACTCGTATAATTTGTGGCGTAGATTTAACGACTTACTTTTATAACTTTGCAATTGTTTTACATACGAAATCGAAACAATTTCCTTTCGCGTAATCTTTTAATTACAAGCCAAAAATATAGTTAAACTAGCTGTCGCCTGCGAGTACGTCCACGCTAAATTAAAAAAAAAACTTATTTAGTAACCTACGCTCTCCAGACTATGTTCTAAGTCTATGCCAAATTTTAGCCGGATCCGTTCAGCCGTTCTGGAGATGCATTCGCACAAACATCCATCACCTATGCAATAAATATTACCATTTTATATATAGTCTAAGATAGAGTCCTTTAATTATCACAAGGGAGTCCCTCAGTATAGATTTAGTCTGAGAAATCTACACTAAGTGACTCTTTTAGTCACCATAAAATGACTGAATCCACAATAACCAAGGGTTATCGAAATACTGATAACTTGAACATAAAAGTAATGAAAAGAAACTCATGTATATCAAACAATAGCTTGTTTTAAGATTTAAATAGATAAACTATGACATACACGTGAACGCTCTTAATCTGTCATCAGATAAGTAATTCTGACACTGCTATTAAGTGAAAGCTATAACATAAAGTCAAAGGGAACTGGCACAAAACATTGTATTTACATATTACTACGACAAACTTTGTTTACATATACTGTATAACCTTTAGAAGATTATAATAAGAGTTATAAATTGAGGAATTATGGTATGACAGTATGCTAACGTGATATGGTTCATTTATCGTAGATTTCTGAGTCCTAAAAATCCCCTTTTAAAATTAAATTGTTACCTCTGTTTTGTCAAAGATGTAAGACACGGTTGACTATACAATTTATATAGAGATATTAATGTTAGAAACCCACAGTTAATACTCTTAATTTTTTTTTGTATTTTTTGTATTTTTCATCTTTGTATTTCTTCATACAAACACTACTAATGAATCTGATAGTTACCAAATTTTAATTAAAAGTGACTTCGAGAGACTCCAAATTAATGATGACAATTCCTTAGTTACGAAGGTATCAATGTAATTGTGGAATTTTATGTTTCTCTATACAGCCATGTCCTGGCAGCAAGCGGGACTCGAGAGCCGAGCAGTGTGCGGTATACGATCGCAGGCCCTTCCGCGGTCGCTTCTACACCTGGGTGCCTTATGTCGATGGTATGTCAAGCATCAGCTCTCTGCCACCCCCATACACAATACATTAAACGTTAAAATTATTCTTGACTATTTCTTTTTTATTAAATAGAAGGTGTTTTACAGGTAATGCTCCTTGCATTCTCAACTGTAGACCTCGTGGTCAGCAGTTCTATGCCTCATTAGCGCTTGTAGCTGACGGTACGCCCTGCACTAAGCCGGGATTCAGAGCAATTTGCGTGCAAGGAAGCTGTAAGGTGAGTAATAATTCAATAAACATAATTTACAACGCGAGAATTTATGCTAACGAATCTGCTGGAATTTTATTACAGCGCCATCTAGCGGCGCATAGCGGAATTACAACTCATTTATGGCTACTTGAGTAATAATGTTGAGCTCGCATAAAAGGTGTTTAATAAATTTCCTTGATGTATACCCGTTTAGGCAAATTTGTTAATCGTATCGACACCTAAACACGAGATACTAATTAAGGATTTACCGTTTTCTTGGTCGTGTCGATAATGTATCTGGCTTTATACAAAATTTACTATTGAATGTAGATTGGAGTTGGAAAATCTATGTTGGAGTTTGTTTCATAATCGCCACCGTTGCTAAATACCAAATTTCCATATAAGTAGATTTCATTTAACAATAAATAGGTTGGATATTAAAATTAAACCATTCTTTGGGCCTAGTATTGACACTTAGTAATTTTTGTAAGTACAATATAGTACTCAAAAAACAATTTGAGTTGAAAATAAGCATTTGCCAGTTGTAGGTCAACTTTCCTATGTTCTTAAGAATAAATAAACGCATAGAAATCACATGCAAATTCTAAATCTTGTCATGAGAGAGTTTTGTTCAGTTGTTTTCTTTCTATTTTAATATCATATAACGTTATCTATTTAAAAAAAAAATAAGTTAAAGTTAATTCTCAAGTTTTAGTAATTCTTGATGAAAACACAATGAAAATTAATTTTATTATATATTCAACATCTTTTTATAGATAAAGACATAATATTCATATGTATTCGTATGCAATAGTACAAAACCATAAGTTAAGCGCCTGGGGTGTACAACTTACTTCTGACAACGCGTCAGTGTCGGCCGTTCTAAGCTGTGATCCATCATAACAAATTGCAAGTAGTATGCTAGTTACGAACTCCAAACACTTAAATGGCGTATAGGAACTATTTGATAGTAAGAAGGGGAATTCATATTTATAGGGGTTATAAGTTATTTTGTTTTTCTAGGGAATTAATGGAAACATATCAGAACTCTTATAAAATTATACCTATTTTGACCATATAAAAGATGTGTTTTAGACCGATGGTTCAATTTCATTTTCTTTGGTCCAATCAACAATAATTTGAAAGTTCTATTTCCATAAACTTATATAAAACGGCTAAACACTCACGTATATTCTTCCGGTGGCGGCACCGACTAGTATCGAGCCCATCGAGGGCCCATCAGGAGTAAGCGACGGGCCGCGTCCGAGAAATAATACCAGTCCCACTCACCCCATACTATAATGTCTCACAAAATTTTGAATAATTCTATTTTCATCTTCAAGTTATGTTCTGCTGGAAGAACATTGTAATTGACCTATCGGAGTTACTGCCGCACCAAAACTCGTTAAGTAATCACACTTACTGTAGATTTAGTATGAGAAGTGCATACTAAAGGTCTTCCTTAGTGGCCAATTATAGATTTTGAGTGCGGCAGTGAGACCATTTCCATTGTATATAACATCTAGGAAGCTAAACGTCCGTCTCTAGCAATGATTTATGTAGTTGGTAGATTTATCGTATTGCGTATTCCGTTTATTGTTGTTCTAATTTAATATTATTGAGATGAAAGGTTTCTGAGACCGGGCCGTGAGGCATAACGGTACTGAAGCCTTTGACAGTAATCGCTATAGATTGCCGAGCCTTGCCATCGATCCAATTTCAAAGCTATTTGGTCCCGAATTGCCTATTATTGTTATTTACAATGAAAATACCGCGAAAATTGTACGTTAGGAAATAAAATCAACTTCTGATTGTGATATATTTGCTGTTTATTAGTCAATAGGAAACTTATATTTATGTTTAAACACACAAAGATTGTTTCAAAGATTTTGATTTTAGAGTACAAGAAGGCAAATGCGAAAGTATGGTGACTTATGTAAAGGTCGGTTTCTATTAGTAACTAACATTTATGAAGTATAACGACAATATTTTTCGTATCTTTGTATAAGGAAGGGAAGTATAAGATTCACAGTCTGACGACAAAACGCTGAATTATGTTTATCCATAACCCACTCACGTATTATTTGGTTATGGTAGATTCCAGTTTGGTAAGACTTGCGACTTTTGCTTTATTATCTATTGGAATTAGGATTAAAATAGTAATAATTCTTTCATTTTAGATTCTAGCCTAATCTGAAATCTTACTTAATATTATAAATGCGAATGTTTCGATGGATGGATGTTTGTTTGAAGGTGTCTCCGGAACGGCATAATGGATCTTGATGATTTTTTTTGCACATATACTATTAGATGGTTGCTTAGATGGTTGGTTGGATATTTGTTTGAAGGTGACTCGGGCACGGCTCAACAGATCTTGATGAAATTTTGCACAGATGTATAACATAGTCTGGAAGACCACATAGGTTATTAAAGTTTGTTATTCCGAGCGGAACAAGCATGTTAAACAATTAAAAGCATAAATACAAGAGACGCAATAAATAAAATAAAAGTAATAATTCGAATCACGAAACGAGAATCGTGTCGTGCGTATCTTACAAAATAAATTCCATCCACCATATCAGTCGATCATAATAGCTAACAGCATGTGATAGCACAAATAACTAGCGCCTTTGCACGCAGACTTGGGTAATGGGCTGCAGATGGCCGATGAGATGGGACGGCTAATAGACATGCAGTAACTAACCGGAAATACACATTAAGTACTAAGTATTAGTAACTTTTAATCTTAGTCTTACTTCTAACTAATATTATAAATGTAAATGTTTAGATTGATGGGTGTTTGTTTAAAGTTATATCCAGAACGGCTGAAGGGATCTCGATGAAATTTGGCATGCACATAGAACATAGTCTGGAATACAGGCTGCTAATTAAGTTTTTTAATCCCGCGCGGACGGAGTCGCGGACGACAGCTAGTATTTCAGATAATAATATTTTTTTTAGATCATTCAAAAATACCTAATATACTTTAATCTTTTTACAATCACTGTAATTGAATTGCGTAAAAATATTTTGCTTTAATTCTACGTTTATTCTCATGTATATAAAACTGTAATTTTGAGCTTTGCTTTATAATTTTAAATTGAACACATCCTTTTGTATATAAATCGATGCCAATAATGTTTAACATAAGCAAGCTCTCCCATAAAAATCAAAGAAAGGCAAAAGAACATAAAAACACATAATAAACAACTAGTTTAACTTGCAATATATGCAAAAAGTAGCTGAGTTTTAATTTCCTAAAACATTAAAAAATATCTACTATCCAATAAAATATATTAAAAGTATTCCAAAGTGGTTTAATCTAAATTCGTACTTCCCATCAAAATGAAACGGCAATTAAACATAAAATGAGCAATTTATGTTAAGAATTAATAGACGAACTCTATCAGACAGGTTTTTCTTAATTAATATGATAGTTTTTGTCTCATCTAACGGTTTCATAGAATAAGTTAAAATTGTTTGGTAATTCGTAGAACAAGTGAAGAGAAATTCAAGTGGCCCAGAAAATAATTGACACACTTAGATACAAATATTGCAATAATTATTACCAAGGAACGTCTCGCTCAGCTGTGAAACTGCCACAAATCTCAATAATACGACAACGCTATCTCGTAAATATGATACATTTGTGCAGCGATAACATATCATTGCTGTCACATCGAAAGCTGCTATTTGCTGGGATCCTTGTGAGAGAGCGGACGGTAAGCGTCATTGGATATCGAACGGGACTTAAGATCGTAGCGATGTTCGAATGTGTAATAACAGTACGCAGCTGTGTTTACTCTGGAACGGGCGACAAATTAATTGTACAATAATGACAAGTCGGCACCCTGTCGCTTGATGTACTGAAATCGTGTTGGTCGTTTTCTATCGCCTGGTTATTACCAATACGTTGGCATTGCGCTACTGTATTTTGATTGTACGTCTGTTTTCTTTAACATATAATTCTATCTGGCTTTTATTTAAGAGTAAGTCTTGATGATTTTGCACACAATATTGACGTTTGTCGCAATGTTCGTGAATCAAAGTATGAATCATTATTATATAATGTATTTTAATATTACGATTTTCTTAATTTCAACTGTGAATAAGACAAATAGATTATGTAGAAGTATTATTAAAGCTGTTTACATTTATTGTGGCTTATAATTAAGCCAATTAAATTGTAACAATATACACAGTAAAGAGGGTTAATACGAAGTACATTGCCGATATAAACTTTCATACAGCATGTTTCAAATAACAAAATGCCAAGACAAAATATACACCCTGTAAATCTATAAACATGGATGTATAATAATTATTTATACAACACAGATGCGCTATCACATACTATAGTACAATATGCAGCAATTACGTGCAATAATTGACATGGGTTTATATCCTATCGATTAATCGAAAGATCAACTGCTACAAATCCGCAATATAAAGGTTCTTGCCCATTGGCCCGCGGCGGACGACCTCGCGCACGATCAACAACAGATTTTAGTTTACTTTAGAAACGCGTCCATTGCCAATGCCGGACGCTCCGCACACACGGCAAGCTACAGATTGCTTGTTGATAAATGCCGTCTTTCGATGCGAATAATGCACGTAGCTCTATGTAAAATCATATAAAGCAAAGTCCGTTTCGAGCCGTGTGCGCGGTGCGTCCGGCGCGGGCCAATGGACACGTACCTTTAAACGTTATTATTCGATTGCAACTTTTGAATTATGGATCGTGTATAGCTAGTCTTAAATAATGTCATATCAGCTGATTAGCAACGATTTCCTTGTGAAAGTCGCCAGTACCCAATTAAGTATCGCGGACTTAGAAAATGTGCTAAAAACAACTGAACCGCTGTATAATTTGTCTACTCGTCAAATACTGAGATAAAAGTGATTGCGAATGTACCAGATTTCCTCACCACGCCCCTGTTCTAATATCAAACGCTGGAGTTTAAAATTATAGCTCTCTTGAGGTACTTGAAATTAAGATTTCATAATTTTGTAACGTTTTAAGTATA